AAATTTTATTTCATATCGCCCAGGTTTTGAAGGAATATATTGCTTAAAGGGACATCTGCATCTAAAAGTGACAAGCTGTTCATCAACCGTCATACACCAGTTTGGTACATACGCATCTCGCAAATAAGTATTCTATAACTCAAAGCATTCCCGTATTGGTGCTATTTTGTCGCCACTCCTTTTTCTTCGTATTTCTGATCCTATATAATCTGGTAATCCCGAAATCAATTGTCCACAAGATTCCTCAAGAGAATAATATGCATCCCTATCAAGTTGTTTTACATTAGGCCTTAACAGATACCAATTATGATGACGGACTGATCTATTAACATTGGCTGTTAAATATGATTCGGGTACAAGCAAACGTCTTATCACAAATACTCTACTAGACGCATGAAGCATCTTTCAATAATGCAGGTGGTTTAAATTTGCATTATTGATACGAGCAAAACCCACATTGCTGCAACCCCTATCTATGCGGTAGCTAAAAGACCTGATTTTTCAAGAAAAACCAAGAACCAGGGAAAATATTACAAAATAGGAAATGCCATTAGAAACTTACCCAGGGCTGAGACTTAAGCAGCGGTTTTTTCTGTCGAAAGTAAATTAAATAAATGCATCGAGATTGATGGAAGGCATTTCGAACATTAGTGAGGTAGTTTTGGTTAAAACTTGAGTCATTCTAAGCATAAAATGCTCTTTCAAACAAGACTAAAAATTTTCAAATCGGTTGATATTAAAATGTAAACATTTGAAAACGCATTGGCCTCCACATCCCTTGTTATGACAGACATAAAAAATGTCGCAAAACAACTCTACAAGACAAATTTTAGTGTAGTGTACAATCTAATTTTCTAGCGAGATTTTTAGATTTTTATGTTTCTTTATGGCAGTTACACCACCTAACAGTCGAATTACGAACTTCAAAATAATTTCCAGATATTTCTCTTGTCCACTTTGCCGGTAGGATTTATTTCCCAACCCTCTAGACCTTACAGTTGTCGAGATACTCCTTACTCTTAATGGGATACCCGGTACATCAAAAAATATTCCATTGACTCAAGCTGCTACAACAGAAAAATCAAAATCAATTTTTAATAATCTTAAGGAAACAGTGAGGAAATATTTTTGGGAAGCAAAGGTTGGTTTATGAGATTTAAATCCCGAAGTAACTGTTGTAGTGTGAAATTATGTGGTGAAGCAGCAAGTGCAGATATTGTGGCTGTTTTTCCCAAGAAATTTCAGGGTTATATAGAAAAAGGCAATTATTCTTCAGAGTTAAGCGTCAACTTTGATGAGACAGGTCTCTATTAGAAGAAGTTACCAGCACGAACTTTTATTTCTAGTCAAAAGCGATCTGCTCTAGGTTTTAAAGTTGCGAAAGTTAGAATAACTCTTTTGCTGGGAGCGAATGTTTCAGGAACTTTGAAACTTAAACCGATGTTAGTGACTACTCAGAGACACTACGTGATTTGAAGAGTCCCAATAAAGACATGTTACCAGTTTACTGGAAATGCAACAAGATTGTGCTTCGCTTTTGTAACAAAAAAATAAATTACCAACCAAGGCACTTCTTTTCTTGGACAATGCACCAGGACATCCTCAAAACCTGGACGAAATCAAAACACCATTGGCTGTCAAAGGTGTTTACAAGCATCCAAATACAATATCACTTTTGAACCCAATGGATCAGGGGGTTATTGCAACCTTTAAGGAATACTATCTTTGCAATACTTTCTAGGAAATTATGAGAGTTATAGACACATCAGATAAAACAGTCAAAGATTATTGGCGGTCTTTCGATATTTTAAAATGCATTAATAATGTAAAGTAGGCTTGGGATGAAGTTTCGGCAAAATATTTAAACGGAGTTTGGCGCAAAGTTCTGCCAGCATTAATGCACGATTTTAAAGAAGTACTACAACAGGAGAATCTAATTGAAGACATTAGCAGGCTTGTAGGTGAGAGTCAAAATCAACCACTCTTAAATGAAGACCTAGAAGAATTACCCAAAGAATTGGATCGTGAACAGAGTATGAAGACAACGAAGAAGAAATTCCAAAAGTGATGAAAACGGCCGATCTAAAGCGTATCCTTTCAAGTATGGAAAGTTTGACCGATGAACTTTATGCGCTAGATAACGATTGGGAACGAAGTGCTAATGTAAAAAGGGGCATTATCGCATCCATTCTAATACATTGTAGTGTTAAAAAACAATATTATTGGTTTAATTTTGAGGTACGTAACCTAATCCTATCCATATGTGTGTACCTCACTGTAAATATAGGTTCGTTTTACGCCGATTTCTATTTACGTCAGGGCTGGTTTGTTTACTAATACAGATCGAGTGATAAGCTGGTTTCTTATTACGCTAAATCGCAATAAAATAGATTTTTGGTTAGTCAGTGAAATACAACTCTTGGACTACACGGAAGAAAGCAAAGTAAATTTATTTATTTAAAAAAGTTAACTACAGAATTAATTTTTTAAATACGTCAAAGGAAAAAGTAACATAGTAATAATAGGTAAATACATTTAAATTCTTATTCATCCAGAATTGACGACTCCAAATCTCTTCTGGGATACTGTAAAATAATGAATACGGCAAGCTTCGTATTGATACTGAGACTTATTGTAGAGGTGCAATCCTAATATTAGTGGGTTAAAGTTAAGTCTACTTTTTGGAATACGCAGTAACTGGCAGTGTCTGGTGTTATACGTACATCTTCAAATGTATCTATTGAGGCCTCTTTCTTTTTAATTTAAAACAACCAACAACCTCTCCTGTATATAGGTAAATGGTAACGTCATTATATCGTATTTGATAAATGGGGGCTTGCATGTTGATGTTTGAGGAACTCCATCAATTGCAACAAAAAACCTGAACGGCTTTCTTTTGCAGACGGAAAACTCTTTGAGCATGGGAAGAGTTACCTCATATTTCAATTCCATACAGCATAGGAGCATGAAATAAGGCAAAGTAAACTGTCCTGGCTTCCTCGCTGCCAATTAAATATCACACCCTTCTAATCGCATATATTTGCCGACTGAGTCTGTTACAAAGTAATTCTACGTGGTCGTACCAAGTAAAAAGACTGTCTAGATTAGTTTAGAACAACACTCAAATATTGCATCTTTCCTCCTTAGAACTCGTGATGAATTCGACTAGTTGTCAAGTAGATGTTGTTGGACTTTTCACGATTTGTAACAAGTTTGTTGGTAGTAAACCATTTAAACGTAGATGTGCAAGTGCTAAGATCCTCACTATCTAGATGTTCTTTCCCCTCGGCCCAAAACAATCGTTACTGTATCATCCACAAAAAGGAGAGTAAGACAATCAATACTAATGGGTAAGTCATTAATATAGATAATAAAGAACAGAGGCCCTAACAGGCTACCCTAAGGCACTCCAATTTTAATACATTTTATATCGCTCTGCAATTGATATGAAATAAAATTTGATAAGATTTAGTGATAAGAAATCAAACGTTATATTGAGATTGCTATTGCAGCGAGCTACAGATAATCAGGCTAAAAGAAACTGCTGGAATAAAATCGCAAAAGTCATATACTGTTAAAACATATGTTTAGAAAGGAACCTTTTGAGAGCCTGCAAATCAGATGTGGTATGGGGTCACTGTGCAGAGAGAGGATACGAGTACAAGAAGTGTATGTTGGTGTTTGAGGAACTCCATCAATTGCCCGAACGGCTTTCTTTTGCAGACGATAATCTCTTTGAGCATTGGAAGAGTTACCCCATATTGCAATTCCATACATCATAGGAGCATGAAATAAGGCAAAGTAAACTGTCCTCGCTTCCTCGCTGCCAGTTAATTGTCGCACCCTTCTAATCGCATATATTTGACGGCTGAGTCTGTTATAAAGTAATTCTACGTGGTCGTACCAAGTAAGAAGACTGTCCAGAACAACACCCAAATATTGCACCTTTCCTCCTTGGAACTCGTGATGAATTCGACTAGTTGTCAAGTAGATGTTGTTGGACTTTTCACGATTTGTAACAAGTTTGTTGGTAGTAAACCATTTAAACGTAGAAGTGCAAGTGCTAAGATCCTCACTATCTAGATGTTCTTTCCCCTCGGCCCAAAACAATCGTTACTGTATCATCCACAAAAAGGAGAGTAAGACAATCAATACTAATGGGTAAGTCATTAATATAGATAATAAAGAACAGAGGCCCTAACAGGCTACCCTAAGGCACTCCAATTTTAATACATTTTATATCGTTCTGCAATTGATATGAAATAAAATTTGATAAGATTTAGTGATAAGAAATCAAACGTTATATTGAGATTGCTCTTGCAGCGAGCTGCAGATAATCAGGCCAAAAGAAACTGCTGGAATAAAATCGCAAAAGTCATATACTGTTAAAACATATGTTTAGAAAGGAACCTTTTGAGAGCCTCCAAATCAGATGTGGTATGGGGTTACTGTGCAGAGAGAGGATATGAGTATAAGAAGTGCAGGAATTAATATGGACATGGGTCTAGGAATAAATGCTGTCGGGGATATGGTGCAAGGGAAGATAAGAAGTGAGGACGAAATATATGAGTAGCAAGTGAACAAAACTGGACTTATCCACAATATGACGTCATAATTTCAAGAAATGATATTAATTAAGTACTGTCAAGCAAAAATGGAGTTGCCTAGCAATTCAATCACAAATTTTACTCAAATGTATAACTTAAAAAATTTGAACTACAGCAAAAAAAAAATGTATAATTTGCCATTACTTTTGAAGAGTAGAAAGGAATGTTTTAAAAACTAGGATGATACAAACTGGGACGTAAAATCGATGATATCTGTTGATTGCGGGAGTTAATTATAAAACGTACGTGTTCAACAACGACCGCAGACCGTGCGTGACATCGACTATTTCGGTAAAATGACGCACGTATTCATAATCAGAATGTAACACTTTCCGATTCTTCCATTAAAACAAAGAATTAAAATTAAGAATTGCTAAAGAAACAAAAACTTACTAAAAATTCCTTCAAAAACGGTTTCACTTAAAACAAATTAATTTTAACACTATTTGTTAAGTTACGCCTTAAAGTTTTAGATGTTGTGTCTCGTTTCTGACTCACTAAGGACGATGAGCACAACCAAAGACGACTCTGTCACGACGACCACGCACTCTGTAATAAATAAAGAAGGAAATAAAAAAAGAGGCAACTCCCGGTCCCGATTAAGCCGAAGAAAGCGCAAGTGAGACGCATACCATCTCGTCTGGATAAAATTAGAAGTGTACGGAGCGTTTCGTATTTTCTATCGACAACTAACAGAGGAGATCATCTCCGTTAACTCCCGTATACCGCGAACGTCGGTGCCACACTGGCGACTTTTTTATTGTTATTACACATTACATCGTCAACTCAAGGGGGGACTCGCAATACTCTCTCTCTTTCTCTCCTCTTATCATTTTTGAAACGGTTTCGTGTCAGATAATCTTTTTTTCTCAATTCTTTTTTTTAATGTGGCTGAAGTTAGATTCATATTCGAATCAGTACCAGATTCAGATTCATAAAATTATAGTTGACCAGATAAGTATTGAACACATCAATTGAAAAATCGTTTTCTGAAACTACAGAAGTTTCAAATTTAAACATTATTTTCTCAATAACTAGAGACTGCAGCACTCTGGGACTAGTCTAGATTATTGCATTAGGTCCTCTGGTATAGTTCTAGCCCACCAGCACCCCCAGATTTGCTGTAGGGACTGCAGGGTGAATTTTTGAATATTCCTCGTTTTCAATAGCAAATTTAAACATTATTTTCTCAATAACTAGAGACTGCAGCACCCTGGGACTAGTCTAGATTATTGCATTATGTCCACTGGTAACCTTCTAGCCCACCAGCACCCCTAGTATTGCCGTAGGGACCGAAAGGTGAATTTTTTAATATTCCTCATTTTCAATAGCAAATTTAAACATTATTTTCTCAATAACTAGAGACTGCAGCAGCCTGGGACTACTTATTGTTAGTCTAGATTATTGCATTAGGTCCACGCATTTTTATTTGGTGATTTATTAAATTACTGAATCAACATTAATTCTCCGTCTCAACATCTAATCTCTCTTTTGACGTCGTGCCTAAGAAGACCATATTGGTCGAAACAATTGTCGCACCGAAACAAATAAATAAACAATCATCATCGTAAAATACACCTTTTATTTCATTATCCACACTACGATGAAACTGGAATCCCAGATCGCTAAATAGGAATAGGATGCCTATATAATCCTTAGCAATGTTGAATAAGAAAGTTTTTTTATATCTCTAATAGTTTTTAATATATAACGGGATATGTAAATTAATATTGACGAGTGTTATCCTGATATATCTTCTATCATAGATAAATATAAAACTAATATGAAATAATAATATAATAGATCTGGAAGTTGGTTTACAAAACATTTTAATAAACTGAATAGTAACAAAATAACAACGAAATAAAAGTATAGAACAATTTGTTAAGACAATCTTAAACTTTTTAAAACTTAAAACAATAAATTTTGATTTTAATAAATTAAAACAACAGAAACATAATATGTTGCACCTACAAAATGTGCTCAAGCTGACCGTGATTCGCCGCCAAACAGTGCTGAAACCGGCTTCTCACTTCATTATGAGTAACTTTTTTAAGAGTATCATGACTTATCGTATTACAAGCATCACGAATTTTTTGTTTAAGATGTTCAACGTTGTTTGTGGGAGTACTGTATACAATATTCTTGATTGTGCCCCATAAAAAGATGTCCATGCAGCTTAAGTCTGGTGACTTAGCTAGCCAACGCACTGGACCAGATCTTCCTATTCATCTCTCAGGATATACGCGGTTCATATATTGCGTAACAACGAAATATAATATTGTGATAGGGCGCTCCATCCATTTGAAACCATACATTTTTCTGTATGAGAGGTATATCTTGCAATAAATCGGGCACTTCATTTTCTAAGAAATGGAGAAAGATTGGTCCATTAAAATTGTAATTGAAAAAATATGGACCCACTAAATATCGATCGATTATGCCGCACCATACATTAATTCCAAAGTGGCCTTGATTTTCGACTTCATTAATCACATTAGGAGTTTCAGTGGCCCAGTATCTTTTATTCTGCCTATTTGGAAGCCCATTACTTACAAATCGGCTCTCATCAGTCCATAAAATGTTCTTATATATTCTTCTATTGTAGTCTTCCAATATGGCCATATCCGCTAAAAAAATCGGTTATCTTCATTTAAAAGCTGCAAGTTCTTCAATTTGTATGCAAAATACTCGTTCTTCTTAAGTATTCAACGTATGGAGGAATAGGAAATATTTAATTGTTGACTTGCCATATTAACAGATGCTCTAGGATTATGTTCAAAAAACTGACAAACTTAGCTACGACGCCATCATTACATAAGGTCTATTTAATAGGAACATGTTTCCTATAGGAAAACGGTTCTGTATTTTTTCTTAAATTTTGTTCCAACCGGGTAAAAAACTTGTGGTCCGGAACAGCTCGATCTGGATACTTTTTGCGATAAAGTCGGACAGCTGCCCTTGAATTACGGCGAGCTTCACCCTAAATTAAAAGTATGTCAACCATTTCCTGGTGATTTGGCATTTTTAAGAAACAAATGCAAGACTATAATACTGTGATTTGACACTGAGTCAAATTAACAAATGTTCTATTTTAAAATGTTATATTTTCAATCCATGGCTACCTATGATGGAAGAATTACTAGAATGATGCTCGTCAATATTAATTTACGTATCCCGCTATATATTAAAAACTATTAGAGATATAAAAAAGCTTTTTTATTCATTATTGCTAAGAATTATATGGGCATCCTATTTCTAAACAGAAAAAAATGTGTTCGTTGAAAAAATAAATTTGTACGCGTCGCGACGCCCAACGTCGCCGTCTAAAATTTGTAACGTCTGATGTTTCTTAAAGCTGAGAAGATACTATTTAAAATGGCATACATTTTTTTTTTCGAAAATTTTACCTGTTTCCCATAAAAGAGGTGGGGCGTCGAGTTTGGCTGACCCTGTACACTACTCTCCAAAATTATCGCACCACCTAAATTATGTATCAAGTTTAAAGGTATTTGTTTTTGAATCAACGGATGGATTTTGATGATTCTTTCTTCACGATATAGGTAAAAAGAAATTTATGTTTTTTCTTCTAATTTTGCAACACCCTGTGGAATTTATCAGAAAGAACCGCTACATTGCATTTACATTACGTTAGAATGGCAACCCTTCTCTACATTTTTGTTCAAGAATCATCTCGATATCTCTTTTATCAAGGAAGATACACAAGTTTAAATGTAACGAATTTTTATTAACATTTTAAACAAGTAGGTGAAAACTAAAAAAACACCACATAATCCTTAATCAATTCTCTCAAAATCACCTAATAACGTGCATTTCCGCCTCTCTTACGTATCACTTCTTCACAGCGACGAGGCATACTTAAAATCAAGCGTCGAATTTGATCTTGATCAATTGCATCCCAAACCTCTCTTACCATCCTCTCAACGTCGTCCAAAACGATAGGTGGTGGATGTCGGCCCCTTAACTGACGATCAATATTATCCCATAAATTCTCTATTGGATTGAGATCAGGGTTACAGGGTGGCCAATCCATGGTTTGTATACCAACTTCATCCAAATAGTCACGGACCGTATAGGTAACATGAGGTCTTGCATTATCATGCATTAATAAAAAATTATTTCCTATGTAAGGAGCAAAGGGTACCACGTGTTCCGATAAAATGTCTGTAATATACCTTTCACCTGTTAATGAACCTCTTCGCAAAGAAACAAGGTCTGTACGTGCTGTAAGCGAAATTTCACCCCAAACCAGTACAGATCCTCCATTAAATAAAGTTGTCGGTCGTATGTTGCACTGTGCATAGCGTTCATTGGGCCGTCGAATTACTCTTAAACGTCTATCTGAGCTGTATAAACAAAGCCTTGATTCATCTGTGAACAGTACTTGTTCCCAGTCATCAGCATTCCAGTCAAGATGTTCTCTGGCAAATTGCAATCTCCTTCTACGATGATTTGCGTTTAAATTTGGTGCTCTGGCAGGAATCCTTGCATGCAAATCACCTTCGGCGAGACGCCTTTGTACAGTGTTAGTACTAATTCGAATATTATGAACATCTGCTACTTGTATCTGTAAGTTTCTCATTGTAACAAAACGTTCCCTTAAAGCACGAAGTCTAATAAAACGATCTTGGCGTAGTGTTGTGACTCTCCTTCTTCCTTGTCCAGGT